GTAACGCACCGCCCGGCCCCGCGGTAACGTAACGAAACGTAACGCACCGCCCGGCTCCGGCCCCGGGATAACGCACTGCCCGGAGCAGCAGCCTTCGGACCGAGCCCAGGCGGGACGAAGAGGCGTTTCTGCCGTTGAGCTTCACGCCGTCCCCGCGCAGGAACGCTGACGGGAAGCGCCTTCACGGTAAGGCTGTTCTTCTCTCTACCCTGCTCCCCCTAACTGTGGTGAGCCCCACTGAAGGGGACAGTCCAACACTGAACATGTTACAGGGCCTAAGTATTAACCATCTCTCAAGCAGCCTAACACAAAACCCATACCGTTTACCAACCGTGTGAGAGTCTCTCCTCCCGCTCAACTGCAGCTGGGGAGAGCCACCCTGCACCCCCTTTGCTTTCATGGGCACCCAAGGAAGGACAGACAGACTCAGAGGTGGTAAGTTCGGAAATATTTTCCCCAAAGGAAGGTGTAATAAGGTACTGTTCAATAGATGATTCAATTTTTAAGCACATATGAAAAGGGCTGTGGTAGAGTATAAAACAGCAGTGACTAACAGAAGGAGTTTTATTTACATAATAATGCATATCAAACATTTTTACATTTAAATTTCAGTGTCTCTTTCAAAAAGCTCAAACATCCAAACAGCAATTTTTGGAAGGTGTAACTTTTAATAAAACCTTCAACTGCTGACAACTTAAATGCATTCTCAGGAAATACACTGTACATACACACACAAAAAAAAAGTGTAAAAAAATAACTTAACCGGTGTGACTCTTATCTACAGTCTCTTTCAAACTACTTCAGTTTGACATTTATTATTCTGTGGTTATCAATATAGGTTAGTTTCTTGGCTCAGGATAGGCAAAGAAGAGTTTGCATTTTACTACTCAGTTCAGGTCTGATCCTGMAAAGTTAAGGCAAAGCTGAGGAGACTTTTCTTGACGCTGACACATACTTAAATGGGCTAAAAAGCCAAGTCTAAGTAGTTGAAGGAATACCCCTCAACTGACTGTGCCCTCTATAGAAAAGGCCAGTGCAGGGGATTAATCCAAGTAAGTCAGAGTTGATTTCTGTTGCACTCAGTCACTATCATACTCCTCTATTTTTAATTCATCCTCCTCCATGATTGCTTGAGCTGCAATAGGCTGAGGCTGRCTGCTGGGAAGTTCGTTTCCACTGCCCTGGCTGGAAGAGAGAGGAAATCCATCCGACTCATTTGTTCTGTTTTGCTCTGTCTGTACAGCAGTCTCCATAGCATTTGTAGCTGCAAGGTCCTCCTCATAGTTAACAAATAAATCTGGTATTCCAGGATCTTTATCCGTGAGCGTTTCCAGCTTTAACCTGCAAAATTAGCGTTGCAGGTTAAGTTAAGCATGAAACATTTTCTAGGGTAGCTGTCTCGCACACAAACTACAGTAGAAAAGACAACCCTTGGAGCATGCAAGTCTCTCCCCTTTGCTGCTTAACAACTTCCAAATATTTTGAGAGCAACAACCTGCATCCATCAGAGCCAGTCCCAGCCATTCCCATGTTTTTCTTGCATCGCTGCCCTATTCTGGTTCACAGCTCTGTCTGTATCTTCCAATTAGAGAGAGTTGTGCCCAGAACTCAATCCTATGCAGCTCTCCTGAGAATGCACAGAATGCATGTTCTTCCCTCAAGGAAGAGGACTGCACTACATAACCTCAAGACAGATCGTCCACAGCAAAGTACTAAATCATGGTTATGTTTTGTCACTTCCCGGCATCTGTTGTTGAAGCTTCTTCCTTACAAGAGTGTTTCTGCTTAGCCTTCAYCAAGGGAATGAACTGTTAAATATTAACTTACTGAAAACATCACATGATACATTAGACTTTTTCCAAASAAAAACTTAAGTTTAGCAGAGGAAGTAATTTAAATTGAGACTGAAGAAAAAAGAGCAGGCAACAAATGGAATGGATTCTTTAATTTTGTATTTATGTRCCTATTGGGACTCTCAGTCTTTCTAGCACTCCTTTATGAGGACGCTATGAATGTTCCATTACATTTTCCCTCCCTTCACATAGTATTAACAAAATTTTCCAAAGTTATCAAGACTCATCTGACACCAATACCAACTGAACAAATAGCMTACACGCTCCCTAAGGAATTTTCTTACTACAGCGGTATTCCTATTTCACTGATAATACTTCATTTATTTTCAGTTTTGGTTATTTCTTTTTGGTTATTTGGTTATTTCTTTTGAAACAGAGTGAAGCCAGGGTTATTTTAAGACATGCTCAGTAAATAACAATAGAAAATAAATTGTTTTAGTTAGGATTTCCTGAAGGAAGTAAGCACTTAGTGAAATGTCTGCATCTCCCTATACTTTTTTTTTTTTTTCCCTTCTCTCCCCTGCAATACAGTGAGCAAACAAAATGAGATTACAGTCTTTTCAGGAAAAACAGTTGCCCTGCAGATAAAACTGATACACCTCTGACATACTAATGCAGGCAGAGGTTGTTTCAGACRAATGTTATGTCACGATAAACGATGGACAAAGCAATATTTAAATACATTTTAATTCTCACTAAAGTCTTTTTGATTGTAAAAGCAAATTTTTATCCAGACTTTGCACTGGATAGTCATACATATGTTTAGGACAGAAAACTAGTGTTTGATACAAGGAAAGAGAAAGCTAACGAAGAGGTTAAAAGGAAGAGTACCTTTAAAATTGTTCCTGATAACATTGTCATTCTAAATAGATTTTAATTGAAAAAAATGCCAACACCCAAAATAAAAAACAATCAAGCCGTGAGAGAAAAATCTCATACACTATATACATTAGAGATGTTGCAATATATTAGTGAAGTAAGTGTTTTAAGACAGTAAAARCAAAGCTTACCTGCCAAAATGTCTTTTTAGTGGTARTCTCCCAACATCCTGGATAAAAGCAATCTGAGCTGAGAACACAAAGAATCACTAATAAATTGCAATGCAACTAAAGGACACTGAAAATAAATAAATCATAAGTTTAAATGTTCCTATGTATTAT